GCTGAGAACTGATCTAAAAATGTGTTGCTTGTTTTCGTTTTTGGTCTGGCTTTGTTGCACGCGGGCAGTGTAACTCACGAGAAGCAGACGAAGCCCCTCTGGTGGCAGTAGCACTTGTCGCAGCCCCTGAAGAAGGTTTGCCTGGGCAGGAACAGGGTATCCTGGTAAACGCACGCACCTGAGCAGGGAAAGACGCAGGTGAAAGGTGGTTTCTCCTCATGAATGAGTGAGAAGACACAGACCACACAGGGTTAACCCGCTGAAACATTACCGATACCTCCTCTCGTTTTAAGAGTCATCTGACCCACCCGTGTTGTGAATGACACAGTCTTGCGTTGTTTCGTTAGAATACTCGAGTTTCCGTCAGGGTGCTGAGTGGGAAATGCCACACCGAGAGCGCTAAGTTGTTACAGTTCAAATTAAAACGATGCCGTTTGACAGTTTTGCTGTCACCAAATTAACACAAAACCGTGAAAGAGAAGGTGTTAACACGCTGAATTAGAATCACTGTGACTTAGATATTCTGTAATCTTGCTGTGTACTCCACTCGTGTTCAGTATGCGTAGGGATGACCAGCACAAATTGTCCATTAGCCCTCCCTCTAAGCATGTGACCACGCATAATACACAGCATGAAGTCACACTAACTCGCGTCTTTACCAGTGTGACGATTTCCCACTGTGTACACCTCGGTGTGAGGGAAAGGAATGAGGAAAGTTCACCGCACGTGTCTGCACATGTCCAAACCCACTGTAGCCCTGAGAGTGAGCTTCACAGCCAGTCACCCCATTGCGTGTGCATTTAGCTTTTATATAAAATTGTTCATTGCAGTGTGGTAAAGCCAGGAAAGGTTGGGGAAAAGAGAGCTCAAAGACTGAACGGACAGCCTGTTAAACAGCCAAGTCCAGTTAGGGTTAACTGCGATGGCTATCTGGAGGGATAATTTCTTCATAACTGCGGAGTAATTCATGAAGCGAGAATGGTCATGGCGTATTTGTGGTGAATGTTTACGCTCAGTTTTCTACTGAGAGCACTGAGGCTGACAGGCAGCACCTTCCTGTGATGGGAGGGGTAGTCTGGGGCTAATTAAAATGCACTCTGCAACCTTTAGAACTGCACTTCACTTCACATCAGCTCTGCTGCCAGAGGATTGACCTTTGACCTCCTCCCTGTCTGACAGAAGTGTCACTGTCCCTCCTCTCATACTGAGGAGGACATGTGGCCACCAGAGGGCGCTGTTACACCAGGTAGGTACAAGGCGGTCAGCTCTTCCCTCTGAAAAGATGAGCTGACTCTGTTTGTGCCTTTAAGCTCCACTCCAGTTTTTAATGGAACCGCTGAAACAAACCATTATTGCTGTGGGATTGGAAACCCTGTGCAGCACATATTAAAATAGCTCAAAGAACTTAGTACAAATTGCTCTTCTCAATAGATACGTTTAAGATGAATTAAAAACATTGTTTTGGAATTTTTTATTATTATTATTATTATTATTATTTCAAAAAAATTTAAGTGCTGGCATTACTCCTGAGAAATATCATGTTGCTGAAGAGGTAGAAGTGAGTAAGTAGGAGCCAGCGTTTCAGGAACCCTGCCAGGTGTGGAGAGGTGGACCTTACCTGTGTAGCGGTAGACGGCCGCCTGTGTCGGACCCAAGCTCCAGGTGAGGCTGAGGGACAGACAGACGGCCCACATCATGGCCCTCGAGCTGGGGACGGGGGCGCGGACACGCCTCTCTCTCACCATGCTGGTGTCACACTGCCTCCCCCACAGGGAGAAATCAATATGTCCCCAAAATGGAACTCAAAACTACAGCAGCAGGAACTCCGAGCATGTAGAGGCTTTTGCGAAACGCTTCCGAATAATCAAAAAAGGGAGGCGTCCAAGAGACAGATAAAGCTGTGAGGAATGGGCTCAGTGAATGAGGTGGCTGACGGAGTTGCAGGTGTGGGAACAGAGGCTGTCAGACAGAGGAAGTCCTCGTCCTCAGTCTTGCTGCTCGGTGTCCAGATGGCAGCTGCCAGCGTTTATATTCTCTCCAACACATGTTCAGGGGGAAGTCGTCCTGGATAAAACACCCTTCTTCCCTCCCATTCTTGAGTTATTTTTCCTTTCTTTCTCCTTTCCATCCCCTAATTATTTCAACCCCCCCCACCCTCGCCCCTAACCCCCCACATACCTCTCACCTGTGTCTGGGGGCATCAGGTCTGGCTCCCAGGGAAGGAACGTTCCTCTAAATGTTTTCAGTTCTCTTCTGTGTCATTGGGATTACATGAGCTGTGTGCTGTGTCTGGAACGTTATGAGATGGGAAAGCTAACTGTCCAATGGCAAAGCAGTGGGCCTTCTTGCAGATGCTTGACGGTGCTCTCTTCTCTTCAGGGGCGGGGGGGTTGGGGGGGGGGAGGGGGTGTTCTCTCACGTCTTTGACTGTACCCCCCTGTAGGCCAGTCTTCCCTGCCCTGTTTGCAGTACCACTGGGGAGGGGTGATGTTGGACCGCTGTCAGAATCAGAACCAACAGCGTTCTGCGGAAAGGAACGTGTTTTGTTATTGCGCTGGTAGAAAAATAAACTGAAGGGAAGATTAGAATCTATTTGAGCAGGTCTTGTACAAAGTAGCGGTGCAGTGGGTCATAACGACTGCACATACCACCGGTGTTCCGAATGAGAAAACGTCTGACGTGTTGCATCTACGTGACTTTCCTCTTGTACCTGCATGGATGTTGTTTTTAGTGGAGGCTGTATACCCCCCTTCTCCAGCCAGGGGTACTGGTGCAGGAGGCAGAGAAACCTTCACAGATTTTGATGGGTCTGATCCTCCCACTTCTGACTTGGGCGCACCTGTATCTTGTTCCCTGAGACAGATGCTAAACGCGTTCACAGATGGACCAGGAGTGGCTAGCGTGGGGGTCAAAGGTCAGGGTGGGGGGTTATCTGTATCCCCTGCCAGTCTCTTTCCAGGCCCCCATTGACCGAGAGAGAGAGTCGCCCCGAAAGCGCTGCATGATGGGTCTCACCCTGTTTTCGAAACTGCCGCGCAGCGTGATATAAACACCTGTACGTGCTCAACCAGACCTCATTCAGGACAATCTGTTCTTTCTCCCTCTATCCTCTCCCCTACATGAGAAAAACCTGTAATCCTTCACTCCTTGAGTCTTCCCTCTTCACCTGTGTACTGTGGGCTGTTCGATTTTCAACACTCTGTCACATTGTTTTTGAGCTGAACGATCCACTTCTTGGCAACCTAATGATCGCCAAAGTCTGTGTTTTTCCTCTCTGACCAGACCGTTCTTGCTACATTAACAACAGTAACTTGCGCGCAAGTGCTTTGGTTTATTCTTTTGTCCGTTGAGTAAGAGCTGGGAGGCCCACACAGGTGCACACTTAGGCCCAGATGTGCAGTGAGCTCATAAGGATGGAATCTGGTCAGCAGTGGCGCAGCAAGCAAAGTGAAAGCAGCTCCACAGCGCCTCCCTGTGGCTGCAGAGTGAACTTGGCATCCTCTGCCGCGGGAGTTTACTGCTGGCTGGCAGACAGACAGGGGTCTGACTGCGCAGGCTTACCTCTGCCCGGCGTCTCGTCCCGCCTCCACTGACCTCGCTGTCGGAGCCTTCTGCGGGAGGCGTCTGTCCGTCTTGCGGTCCGCCGGGCCCGGCCACACTCCCGGCGAGGGGAACAGACAGGAAAAAGGGCCTCCGCGGCCAACCGCCAGACCATCTGAAAGACCGGCCATCTGTGTTTCTCCCCCCGCCCCGCCTCTCTCTCTCCATCTCTCTCTCTCTCTCTCGCTCTCTCCCTCTTTCTCCCTCTCTCTCTCTCTGTTTGCATCCCAGCATTCCAAAGGGTCTCCTGTCTCTCCTCCTGGGTTACAGTGGTGATGGTGTGAGGGTGATTGCGGTGCACCTCTCCGAATCCCGGTGGAGAGGGAGTGGGAGCAGGAGGGGGGAGGCCGGCCGCAGAGCCAGGAGCCCCAGGTGTCTCTCTCCCTCTGTTCCCTGCAGGCCCGGAGCCCAGACGCCTCCTGCTTCAGCTCCCTGACCCTGCTTGGCTCTCTAATGGCTGCCTGACCCGAGCGTTCAGAACCCAGGGCCCAGGCCAGGCTACACAGACAGGGGTGGGGGTGGGGGCGTTTTGGGCCGGTGTGACCCTGCAAGTTTTGGGGGTTAGGGAAGGTGGGGTTCATCCGAAGGCCACGGTGATAACCCCCATGGTTTGGGCAGAGAGAAACGCCGATCGCAGCTGACACCACATTCCGCCAGTGCCCCCCCCGGCCATGTCTTTTTTCGCCTCTCCGTGGCTAAAAATAGCGGCATGCTAACTGATGCACTGGAGTGGAGAGATTTGTTTTTTTTTATTTTGTGGTGTGCCGGGAGATTTTTTCTGGAAGGTTGAATTTCACGTTAATGTGTTCTGTGGAAAACTAATGCCCCTCCACCCCCTTTGCTTGTTACTGCCCCCCCTGACAGAGGTGCTTGTAAAATGCAGGGACGCAATATTCAACATCCTCAAAAATGGAAAATAATTGCATTGGGCTCACAGCGAGTCTATTGTAGTTTATGTTGTATTGGTATGAAATGCTACTGCATATGACGTTTCTCTGTTAGGTTTTTACAAGTCTACAGATCAATTCAGTGCACTGAACGGCAACCAAGAGCTGTTCTCTGATGTTTCGTCAGGAGTTTACCTTACACTACCTTATTAAGATTATCACTTAATATTAATATGGATATGTAACCCGAAATTCATTTCTCAGGAAAAAGGTCAGGGTTTTTTTAAGATTAACCCTGGGGAAAAGGGTCAAGTCAATGGCCTTTTTACAAGATGATTCATAAGAGCTTTCCACAAAATACTTTCTGATTTTTAATGTGTTGTCAAGCAAACTCAGGTGCCTTGGAACATCACGCACAGGAAGGAATGCAGATACAAATAAAACCTTTTTAATCTCCCAATTTCCCACATATTTCTACTTCTTCCTCCTTACTCCTTCTATTGATTAAAAAGTGACAGTGTGGCACAGTGGTAATGAGCAGGGCTCATAACCAAAAGGTTGCTGGCTCGATTCCTGACTGGGGCACTGCTACTGTACCCTTGAGCAAGGTACTTAACCTACAATTGCCCCAGTAAATGGGATCAATAAAGTGCTATCTTATCGAGCTGTATAAGTGGGTAACATGAAATTGTAACCTGTGTAAGCCGCTCTGGATAAGAGCATCTGCTAAATGACAATAATGTAACGTAATGATACCTGATACCTGTAAGCCTACTGTACTCTGTGGTGCAAACAAATCAAGGTGACTTTAAGTAAATGTAACCACATGGTGCCCGTAAGAACAAGCTGTTTGCATGCATTACAGCCTGAGATGCCAGCTCGTCTGAATACGTCAGGAGGAGGTCTGAGAGAGCTCTGGAGTTCCCAGAGTTCCCTGCTGCCTGATGCCCTGTCAACGTGAGGCGGAAGCGGGTAAGAGCGCTTGTGCCGAGGGTGACCCGCTCTTGTGATCAGCCACGAGGCCCTGTGCGAGGACACACTCACCTCACTCACCTCCACCCCCCAACCCCCCGTCGCCGTGTGCTGAAATGGTCACGGAAAACGAAGGCCCCGTGTGGGTGCGGATGTCACTCCTCTCCCTCCGACGGCCACTCGGCACGTAATTTGATTACATGGTGAGTGATGATGCCTCCCTCGATGATTGATTTGGTTATGTATTTACGTCAGGATGAAATGAAGAACAACCACTGCACAACGGACAAAATTGTTTTTTCCTTACTACTATTCTGAGGAACATTAATTCTGTCCTTTGTCCAGTTAGCACACTGATGATTGAGTGTTAGTCGAAGATAACAGGCCCAACATTAAACTGTTTCTGATGTCAGCATCAGGTACAATGCTCTTCTCCCTCTGACACTCGGAGGGGTTAAAGGGATTGAGATCATAGCTCTTTGAGGCTGTATTACACCCTTAGTGCTAAAGACAGAAGAGTGATGAAAACACGCCTTCAGAATCCTTCAGAATGATTAATATTTTCCATCAGTTCGAGTCCACTTACACTCATTTCAGACCTGCAATTTCAGGCAAAGAGTGGAATCTAACCCAGCACATGATTTCATTTTTGCAGCATATCATTCATGTGATATTATTGTATTAGTAAAACAATAATAGTGATGGGGGCACTAGCGTAGCATGGTGGTAAGGAGCAGGGCTTGTAGCCAAGAGTTTGCTGGTTCAAATCCCTGCTGGGGCACTGCTGCTGTACCCTTGGGCCAGGAACCTAACCCACAATTGCCTCAGTAAATATCCGACTGTATAAACAGATAAAACTGTAACCTATGTAAGTCACTCTGGATAAGAGCATCTGCTACATGGCAATAATGTGTTGTACTTAGTTCCCTCATTTATGGTGTATGTGCTATCAGAGTGGTTTACATACAGGGGTGAAATGCTGATGTAACTGGTGCCAGGGTTGTGTTCATTTGTCTCCAAGTGATAATGGAGCAAAGTCTTCAGCTCCAGAGTCTCTTGTTCATCACCCTGGGTCAGCCATTTTGTTATGAATCTGAGAGTGGTTAAACTAACAGAGACAGAACTGCACACACTAAAGCAACTGCATGCATCTTCCCACTTGAACTCATCAGCCTGGTTTTATTGGACTTTCTCAATGAAAGCTTAAAACAGTCCTGTTGTGTTAGTTTTGTGAAGCTGGACCAGGGACCAATTGCATTTTCAGAGTGCTTCCTTGGTGCCAGTTATGGAACTTCATGTGAAAATTAATAAGGGGAATCACAGTATAGCATTGCTATGCATCACTAATGTTGAAAAATGCTAATTTTCTGTTCATTTACACTAATCTAATTTTCCTGTCTGATGTTACTTAAAATCATTAAAATGAAAATAGTTATATCTGATAAATAAATTGAAATGAGTATTAAGCAAAGATAATAGATATTTATGCACTATAAATTCTGTATTTTTTTACCCACCCATTGAACAGATTTTTGCTTTAAACCAACACATCTGGCCAGAAAGAATTCAAAAGTCGGTCATTTTATTTATTTATTTTTCTTTAAAAAAAAAACAACAACAATGTATATGTGGTAAGTGACAATGTCTGTCACATTTGACTTTCCAATGAAAATCTCGCATAAACATTCCTATTTCATAACATCGAGAGACATCGTAGCATCTCAAGATAAGGAAAAAAAACTGCAATTAAAAGAGTTTTCAATAAATGATGCACATTTAAATAAACACATAAATAAAGTAAAACTGTTCCACAGTTTTCATATCTCCTTTTGGCACATTGAGACAGAAAAAGGAAAAACACTTAAAGTATTAATTTGGTGATGATGTAAGGGGACAGGAGGCGACAGTGCGTTTGCTCGCTGGTGTCAAACGGAGGTCGCGGTGAGATGGCAAACCTCAGACACTCGCCGTTTCCCACAGACACGCTCAACATTAAAAATGCCATGACATTTTTATATCGGCCAAGCTGTGTTACTGCATTATTCCCGTTTCCCTGCTGGCACCACTGAATGACTGTGGGCCACTGTGGTGCAGAAGGCATAACACCTTGAACAGGTAAAGCGACCTCTTTAAAACGTCTGAGCCTTGCCAGAAAATGAGAGTCTACAGTGCAAGCCGGGTGTAGCTGTGTGACCCCAGCCTTCCCTGCTCAGTGGGGCAGGAGACCCCGCGGGAGACCTGATTCTGAGGGCTGACTACAGCACAACACCTGTGGCACAGGTACACTGCAAGCCAAAGACATTCTTTCACATACCTACTTCTGTTCCAGACACTTCCCTGCTTATATACATATAAGTAGTGTGTGTATGTGCATGTATATATATATCTGTGTGTGATATATATACACACATATATGTCATATAATTATACAGCAGAATAAATTCTTAATTTTCAATTTTCAAAGCTGCAAAGGCCGATATCTGTAAAATGTGTCTCCTTTGATAAAATAAAAATAATTGCATGGGTTTCATCACCAAACAATAACAACCTATACCATAGAACACTTAAATGAACATACCTTTATTTTTATGAAACAATATTAAAGCAATAAAAACAGCCATGGTGGCGCATGAAATGTGTTCTCTTTGTGTCTGTATGTGTTGGAATGTGAATCTGCTGAACATGAGGAGAATGTTAGGGACAACCAGCAATTTGAGCTGTCTGCCACAGGAAGTCATGTGACATGGATCTGCGCTGAGGCAGCTGGAATTTGTAGTTCAGCCCACATTTGCCGATATGTTTAGCACGCTGGCAACTTATGAAACATGTGGATCAAACATAATCATGCCATATAGTCATCCCTCACATACAAACACACTTCACTGACATTCTGTTTCTTTTCTTTTTTTGCCAGACTGCTGAATACAACTTAATGTAAAAAAAAAAGTATGCTTTAGAATGTCTGCACACCCTCATACTTTCACCCAAACCAGTCCGGATGACATCAGCGCGGGTTTGCGTTTGGAGGGGTGTGCTGGATCATTGGCACATTGGCGTGGTCAGTACAGATGGGTTTCACACTCACAGTTTGAAGGGAATCGCCTTTCATTTTGTTTTCAAAAATAAGTTTAAAAAAGGAAAAAGAACTGATGAAACAAAGTGACAAAAATTATTTCCAACACAATTTGTGACCCCTCATTCTTTTTTTTTCTTCTCCACAACCCAACCATAGCATTGAGTGTTTGAGTTGGCCGAGTTCGTCAGACAAAAGAAAAACAGAACACGCTTCTTAAAATGTTTCTCAAGGTAAGGATGGCATTGACTTTGAGGACGCAAAGCCTGAATGGAGATAAGCAGAGTTATTCAAAACACTATAATACTCTTTTAAAAACTATAAGGGAAACACAGACTTTGAATGTACAAGCTCCCACTGGTAATGACACTCAGCAAGAGCCCAGGGGAAGGGTGGGGACTGGATTTGAAAGCTCTGTGACTCTGTACAACACATGGGGGGGCATTGCTTTCATTTGTGGGGGTTGCCGTTTGTTAGTATTCCTGCTCTTCCTCGATTTTTCTCCGTCTGCCTTCATCAACTCCTCTTCCTCTGTGATTTGCTACAGCTCCAGTGAAGAGTCATCTCCGAAACCTGGCCTGAGTGTGGAGACACAAAGGGACTTTCCAGGGGGAGAAGTTTTAAGCACCATACAGAGGAGTTTACCATCTGAAGAGGCAGTCCATCTCTCGACAAGATCCCTTCCCAGAATCCTATGCTTTTTTCTGAGGCAGGGCTTCCTTGCTTTGCATGAAGTGGATTTAACCTCCCTGGTCTTTCTGAAAAGGCGATGAGGATTCCTGCGGATTTTGAGTGGATCAACAACCAAGCTCGCTCTCCTGAGGGATCACCTTTCGAGGTGACACCCCTGACAAACCCCCACAGGCTTCTGTGGTCTCCTCAAGCACAAGTGCTGCTGTGTCATCAGAGACAACCAATCAGAACCAATGTTGCTGACATCCTATAATATCATCCTATAATATTTGCTCATGCTGAAAGTCTTACTTAAGAGTGAGGGGAAAAGCTATGACTTTTGTGACACCATGTAAATTTAACAGGACTTTACCTACTATATCGGTTAAATCCTTTTTCCTAATGGTTCTTAAACCATATTACTATTAAGCCAGCGTGAAAAAAACAAATAGTTCATTTCTGCTTTTTATTTTTATTTTTCTTATTGTAAACATCATTTCAAGCAGGAGATAAACCCGTTTGTTGCACCTTTTTTGATAAGATCGATTCTGGATATTGACACCAAACTGATCCACCATACAACCTGTTCACTATGCTGTGACAAAACACAGGTTTTAGACAAAAGGTCAGGTGCTGGGGCCGTAGCTGTCAGAGTATCTTTTGTAGAAATGCTGTTTTTTTATGTCTTCCTCCATTTGACAGTGTCTTTATGAAACTAAACACCTGTTCATGGATGATGACACTTAGGGCTAACTTCTTACACCTTCCACAGATCTGTTTTGCATTAATCTCATCCCTTCTCTTCACTCTTTGCAATGCCGGCGTGATGCAATGACACAACAGACATCTTCCTCTGATTGGTGACCAC